TATAATTAAATACCAAAAGAAAAAACAAATACCAAAATATTTCTTCTTTAATGAGAAAATAAATGCCAAATATAATAATATAACATATATAATATGTAATATTAATATACATAAGATATAATAATATATTATATTTTGGTATGTTTTTTCTTTATTATTTGTTTCAAGAAAAGTTGTCACTTTTCTTCTTAATTTCTTCATTGACCCACTGGTCATTCAGGAGCATATTGTTTAATTTCCATGTGTTTATATTGTTTCCAAAATTACTCTTGTTATGGATTTCTAGTTTTATAAAATTACTAGTTTTATAAAATACATATATGATTTATAAATAAATATTGTTATAATATTATTACAGCTAAAGAGAGAGAAAGACTCTAATACAGTAATAGCTGGAGACTTCAACACCCCACTTACAGCATTGGTCACATCTTCCAGACAGAAAATCAAAAAAGATACGTCAGACTTAATCTTCACAATAGAACAAATGGACCTAAGAGATATTTATAGAAAGTTTCATCCAGCAGCTGCTTTCTTCTCCTTAGCAGATCAATCATTCTCAAGCTGAGATCATATGTTAGGTCACAAAACAAGTCCTAAAACATTAAACATAAAATCTGAAATGATATAAAGCATCTTCTCTGACCATAATGAAATAAAACTAGAAATTCATAACAAGAGTAATGTTGGAACCAATATAAACACACGGAAATTAAACAATATGCTCCTGAATGACCAGTAGGTCAGTGAATAAATTATGAAGAAAATTGGCAAGTTTTCTTGAAATAAATAATAATGAAAACACAAATACCAAAATGTATGGGATACAGTGAAAGCAGTATTAAGAGAGAAATTTATAGTTATATAAATTTATAGTTATCTACATCCAAAAAGAAGAAAAACTTAAATAACCTAATGATGCATCTTAAAGAACTAAAAAAGCAAGTGCAAGTCAACTCAAAATTAGTACGAGAAAAGAAATAATGAACATCAGAGCAGAAATAAATGAAATTGAAATGATAAAAACAATACCAAAAGATAAACAAAAACTAAAGTTGGTTTTTTAAAAGATAAAATTGACAGATCTTAAGTCAGACCAAAAAAAAAAAAAAAAAAAGAGAAGACCCAAATAAAATCAGAGATAAAAAAGGAGACACTACAACTAATACCACAGAAATTTAAAGGATCATTAGTGGCTACTGAGCAACTGTTCAACAACAAAACCAGAACAGATCAATAACAAGTAATAAGCTCAAAGCCATAATTAAAGGCCTCCCAGTAAACAAAAGCCTGGGACCCAATGGCTTCACTGCTGAATTCTACCAAACATTTAAAGAAGAACAAATAGCAATCCTATTCAAACTATTCTGAAAAATGGAAAAGAAGAGATTACTTCCAAACTTGTTCTATGAGGCCAGTATTACACCAAAACCAGACAAGGACATATCAAAAAATGAAGACAATAGGTCAATATCTCTGATGAATACTGACACAAAAATCCTCAACAAAATACTAGCAAACTAAATTCAACAATACATTTAAAAGATTATTCATCATGACCAAGTGGGATTTATCCCAGGGATGCAAAGATGTTTCAACATATGCAAATCAATCAATGTGATACATTATATCGACAGAATGAAGAATAAAAACCAAATATATCATTTCAATTGATGTTGAAAAAGCATTTGATAAATTTTAAATCCTTTTGTGTTAAAAACCCTAAAGAAACTGGGTATAGAAGGAACATATCTCAGCATAATAAAAGCCATATAATGACGGACCCACAGCTAGTACCATACTGAATGGGGGAACACTAAAACCTTTCCTCTAAGGTCTAGAGCAAAACAAGGATGCCCACATCCACCACTGTTATTCAACATAGCTCTGGAAGTCTTACCTAGAGTAATCAGACAAGAGAAAGAAAGAATGGACATCCAAACTAGAAAGGAGGATGTCAAATATTCTTGTTTGCAGATGATATGATCTTATATTTAGAAAAATCTAAAGACCCCCCCACACACACACACCCCAAAAAATAAAACTATTAGAGCTAATAAACAAATTCAGTAAAGTTTCAGGACACAAAAATTAACTACAAAAATCTGCAGCATTTTTATGCCAATAATCTGAAAGAGAAATTTTAAAAATCCCATTTACATAAGTCATAAATAAAATTAAATACCTAGGAATAACTTAAGAAGTGAAATATCTCTACAATAAACAAAACACTGATTAAAGAAGTTGAAAAGGACACCAAAAAAATGAAAAAATATTCCATGTGCATGGATTGGAAGAATCAATATTGTTAAAATGTCCACACTACTCAAAGCAATCTACAGATTCAATGCGATCCTTATAAAAATACCAATGACATTCTTCACAGAAATAGAAAAAAAATCCTAAAATTTATGTGGAGCCATAAAAGATTGAGAATAGCCAAAGCTATCGTGAGCAAAAAGAACAAAACTGGTTAAGAATCACATTATCTGACTTCAACCAAAACAATATGGTACTGGCATAAAAAGAGACACAGATCAATGGAACAGAAAAGGGAACACAGATATAAATCCACATACCTACAGTGAACTCATTTATAACAAAGGTGCTAAGAACATACACTGGAGAAAGATGTCTCTTCAATAACTTTTGCTGAGAAAACTGGGTATTCACATGCAGAAGAATGAAACTTGACCCTTATCTCTCACCATATATAAAAATGAAATAAAAATGGGTTAAAGACTTAAATCTAAGTCTTAAATCTAAGACCTCATATTATGCAACTGCTACAAGGAAACACTGGGGAAACTCTCCAGGAGATCAGTCTGGGTAAAAACTTCGTGAGTAATATGCCACAAGCAGAAGCAACCAAATAAAACATAAATAAGATCACATCAGGCTGGGCGTGGTGGCTCAAGCCTGTAATCCCAGCACTTTGGGAGGCCGAGGCGGGTGGATCACGAGGTCGAGAGATCGAGACCATCCTGGTCAACATGGTGAAACCCCATCTCTACTAAAAATACGAAACACTAGATGGGCGTGGTGGCGCGTGCCTGTAATCCCAGCTACTCAGGAGGCTGAGGCAGGAGAATTGCCTGAGCCCAGGAGGCAGAGGTTGCGGTGAGCCGAGATTGTGCCATTGCACTCCAGCCTGGGTAACAAGAGCAAAACTCCATCTCAAAAAAAAAAAAAAAAAAAAAGATCACATCAAGTTAAAAACCCTTCTGCACAGTAAAGGAAACAATCAACACATTGAAGAACAACCCACAGAATGGAGAAAACATTTGCAAACAACCCATCTGACAAGGGATTAATAAGAATAATATATAAGCAGGTGAAACAACTCTATAGGAGAAAAATCTAATAAACCTATTTTAAAATGGGCAAAAAATTTAAATACACATTTCTCAAAACAAGACACACAGATGGTAAACAGGTATATGATCAATGAGCAACATCACTGATCATCAGAGAAATGCAAATCAAAACTACAATAAGATATCATCTTACCCCAATTAAAATAGTTTTTATCTAAAAGACAAGCAGTAACAAATGCTAGCAAAGATGTGGAGCAAAAGGAACCCTCATATACTGCTGGTGGTAATACAAATTACCATAGCCACTATCGAGAACAGTTTGGAGGTTCCTCAATAAACTAAAAATAGAGCTACCATATGATCCAACAACCCACTGTTTGGTATATACCCAATGCAAGTAAAATCAGTATATTAAAGAGATACCTGCACTCCCATGTTGGCTGAAGCACTGTTCTCAATAGCCAAGATTTGGAATCAACCTAAAAGCCCATCAACAGATGACTAGGTAAAGAAAATGTGGCATATATGTACAATGGAGTACCACTGAGCTATAAAAAAAAAGACTGAGATTCTGTCATTTGCAGCAACATGTGTGGAACTGGAGGTCACTATGTTAAGTGAAATACATCAGGCACAGAAAGACAAACATCACATGTTCTCACTTATTTGTGGGTGCTAAAAATCAGAGATTAAGAGTGAAAGTACAGTTAGCAGAGGCTGGGAAGGGTTGTGGGAGGTGGGGTGAAGTGGAGATGGTTAAGGGTGCAAAAAATTATAGAGAGAATGAATAAAACCTAGTATTCTATAGCACAACAGGGTGACTACAGTCAATAATTTAATTGTACATTTTAAAATAACTAAAAGAGTACAATTGGATTGCTTGTAACACAAAGAATAAATGCTTGCGGAAACATATCCTATTTTCTATGATGTGATTTATTACTTATTGCATGCCTGTATCAAAGTATCTCATGTACCCCATATATACACCTACTATGTAACCACAAAATATTTTTGAAAATACTTTTTCAGTTATATATATATATATATATATATATATATATATGTATGTATTATCCACTGTCCCATATAATGATGATACTCCTTTATATTTCCACCAATTGGTGGAAATATAACTCCCAAACTCTTGAAAATAACTATATTTGATGGAAAGAGAGGAAACCTTATCTACTTCAAATCATTACTTCAGGGTTAATGAATGAAAACAGTCTAAAAAATTATTTATCCAATCAATACTTACAGAATTTACCTCCAATGCAATATATGGAGAATATATAAAGAAGAAAATAATAATAGCAGCTGCTACTTGTATGCCAAGAACTATCACAAGCTCTTTTCCCATTTAACCCTCAAAACAATTCTATAAGGAAGTTATGTTAATGTTTCTCAAGAAGAGTTGGATCTACTATGCATCAAGCCCTATGTTAGACACCATCCATACATTCTCTCATTTAATGTGATTGAACTCTTACAAATAAATGCTAAGGGAAACGTTAATCTCATTTTATGAAAGAGAACATTTTTCCAGATCTTGAAAAGGGTTAAGTACATTATTCAACGTCACCTAGCCAGTTGGCGTGGAAGTTTACAATCTTCTAGAGATAAGAAATGTACATAATGTGTACCAAGATATAAAATCAATACTGTCAAACATTTACTTACTCCTAATTCTTCAGAATTGCATGTTTTCACCATGTTTTGAAGAACATCAATCAGTTGACATAACAGTACTCCATTATCAAGTTCTTCCAATAATTTTTCTGGCTTAACTTTAATACCTAAAAACATATTTCCAGATCAGACTCTAAATACTCTTAGAAGGTACAGTTAAATAGCAAATAATGGCGAGTTAACTTAAAGATACTGAAACAAAAATACCTGCAATGCAGAAGTACAGAAAAAGAAAATTCACATCAATTTTATTTCATTTAAGATGAAATAAATTAACTGCATGTTAATATTCCTTGCACAAGAAAAAGAGTATCCATAAATAAGATGGACTTGATTGCAATTTTAAAATTAAAGACAATACCATAACAAATACCCAGGGAATACCAACAGTTTACTTCTAGAATGCCTTCTTTAAAAGCATGATTAAAATTACATAATAAACTCTAAACATTATCCATCAAACTGATAATAGATAACTATAGTGGGTATTTGGTATTTAATTACCTTGGAAGGGCTATTAAGATATTCCTTTTCATGAGAACCTGATTAATTCTACATAAAATTATTTAAAGTAAAATTTTTATGGGGAGAAAGTTTAAAGCATTCAACATATTCTCTAATAGAGTAAAAAATATGATGTCAGACATTCTCCAACCTGACATTTCTTCCTAGGTTTCATATGCCTCTATCCTTCAATGACTCAGAAATTATAATCATTTTACCTACAGTTTATGTTTCACTCAAAGTTCATGGCTTATACAAGATTCAGGTTGGTGGGGGGAAATCAGCCAAAAAAAAAAAATTAGACCAATACACTTTTTAAAGATTATTTTAATATTAACAATGAAAATGTTGATTATTCAAAGCTTACAGACCTCTTCAGTTAAATCTCAAATTTCCTACCATGCAAGCCCCAAGATTCAGAGTGAATCAGAGAATTTCCCCAGCTGAAATGTAAGCTTGGTGAGAGCAAGGGCATTGAAATACTTCATTCACTAGACTATCCCCAGCATCTGTAACAACCACTCCTTGAAAAATAGTAAGGCTCTCAATGAATACATATTGAATAAGAGAATTCAATTTTGTGTATTGTTTCAAGCCTTACCTAATAAACCAGATAACCAGATTGACAGATCTTCTTGCATGGGCAACAGAGTGGCTTCATGCCTCACAGCTATCCACTCATCATACTGGCAAACATTAGCCAATCCTGGTCCATGTCTGGGAGTCAGAGGACTCCGTGGACTTAGAGGCAGATCTTCTCCAAACCATACCTAAAGAAAAATTAAACAATCAACTAAAAATATAACTTTTGCTAAAAGTCATCATAATCCACATCAGTATTTAAATGATGAAGCATAAATCATAAATAATAGACACATATAAAAAACTGCTGTTGCTCACAGCAAATATATAAATTAGAAGTAAACTATTAGTCCTAGACATGTAACCATTTTCTTTTCTTTCTTTCCTTGTTTTTTTTTTTCTTTGAGACAGGGTTTCATTGCTGCCCAGGCTAGAGTGCAGTAATGCGATCATGGCTCACTGCAGCCTCAACTCCCAGGCTCAAGCAATCCTCCCACCTCAGCCTCCTGAGAAGCTGAGACACAGGCACATGCCACCATATCCAGCTAATTTTTAAATTTTATTTATTGCAGAGATGTGGCTTCCCTATGTTGCCCAGGCTGGTCTTCAATTCCTGGGCTCAAGTGATCCTTCTGCCTCACCTCCCAAAGTTCTGAGATTATAGGCATGAGCCACTACACTCGTCCAAGACATTTTCAATATTCAATATTGTGGTCAATGTAAAAAAAAAAAACCCTAATTAATAAATGGATTCTACTACTGAGCCAAGAGGGTACAATTCAACAAATAATATTTTTCCTTTACTTGTTATCTGAGTAAGCTTAACAAGTTACTTGACCAGAGTTTTAGCATCTTAGCTGTAAGATGGGTCCTGCCTTACAAAATACACCTTTGCAGCAACTGGCATTGAGCCCAGCAGATAGCAGAGACTCAATCAACATTTGTTGAATGAATAAATGAAGCATAAATAGCATTTTTGAAAACTTCAAATCACAGTAACAGTGTTATCTTTAAAAAACAATTTCTAAGTACTTCAGTTTAAAACAAGTGGGTGGCAAACTATAGTCCATGGGACAAATCCAGTCTCACCTGATTTTGTAAGCCCAGAAGCTAAGAATAGTTTTTAATTTTAAAATGGCTGTTATGAGGCCAGGCACAGTGGCTCATGCCTAGTAATTCCAGCACTGTGGGAGGCTGAGGCAGGTGGATCATGAGGTCAAGATTTCAAGACAACCCTGACCAATATGGTGAAATCCCACCTCTACTAAAAATATAAAAATTAGCCAGGCATGGTGGCACGAGCCTGTAGTCCCAGCTACTTGGGAGCCTGAGGCAGGAGAAATGCTTGAGCCCGGGAGGCAGAGGTTGCAGTGAGCTGAGATCACATGACTGTTCTCCAGCCTGGGTAAGTAACTGCATATCTCAATTTTGCCTACTAGCCCACAAAGCATGAAATACTACCTGGCCAATTCACAGTTTAGAATAACAATGGACATTCTTTATAAATTTTATATGTTTATAGATACTATAATCAACATTTGCAAAATTTTGAAATACAATTAGAGATTCTTTAATGTAAGATTATTTATAGAAAAGGCTGTATCAATTCTTCAAATTATAAAAGTAATCATGTCATTAGGAAGTCACCTTTTTTTTTTTTGAGACGGAGTTTCGCTCTTGTTACCCAGGCTGGAGTGTAATGGCGCGATCTCGGCTCACCGCAACCTCCGCCTCCTGGGTTCAGGCAATTCTCCTGCCTCAGCCTCCTGAGTAGCTGGGATTACAGGCACGTGCCACCATGCCCAGCTAATTTTTTGTATTTTTAGTAGAGACGGGGTTTCACCATGTTGACCAGGATGGTCTCGATCTCTCGACCTCATGATCCACCCGCCTCGGCCTCCCAAAGTGCTGGGATTACAGACTTGAGCCACCGCACCGGGCCAGGAAGTCACCTTTTTTAAAACAGATATAAATATCTCTTGTCCTTCCCCTTCTTGAACAACTTAGAAAGTAATAATATTATTAGAGCCCAGGTGAAATGCATAGGAGATTCTCAGAGCTGGGTGGCTTCGAATGGAGACTCAGAGCTTGAGTCAGGTGAGAGGGCATCTGGGTATGGGAGCAGCCCTGTGCAAGATGTCAGACCCTGAGTAGAATAAGGAAGGCATCCATTGAGGGCAAAGGGGGAATATTCCAATACAGAGTATCAGAGTCCAAGTGAGCTGAGCATCTACCCAGGGTGCAGGTGGCAGCAACAGCGGGAGAATTTGTCAACACATGAGGATTTATCAAATGGGAGCCAATCTTCTCACTGAAGAGAGTTTCCAATATGGAATGAGAGAAGTAAGAATGAATCCTTTGGTGTTCAATTAGAATATCTCTTATCTGAAAGCAAAGAAACTCTCAAAGAGTGCCAAAAGGATACATAAGCCAGCATGAAGGAACTTCTGCTGAACTGAGGGCAATTTGAGCATTGAGATAAATGATAGAAATGAATTATATCACACTGAATAAAATAGGAAACTGTGAGTTAATACAGATATAAATGAACACACTGAAATTTGAACAAGAATGGGATTTTTACAGTTTCAAAGTACCTGCACACAAAATACTTACTACAAAGGGAAAAAGAGTAATTTTATAGTTCAGAAACCTGACAGACAGCATTGTAATCAAACGATGGAGATGAACTCCATCAATAATGGAACAAATCAAAATCATATGCCACCTGATAGGAGGCAATGAGAAAAATTCCTACCCAATATGCATAACCTTAGTTTAATCATGAAAAAATATCAAGCAAAACCAAATTGAGGGACATTCTACAAAATAGCTGGTCTGGAAGAGATTTCTGTGCTGAGGGCACTCACGCAAACATGGTGAACGTTCCTAAAACCCATCAGACTTTCTGCAAGAAGTGTGGCAAGCACCAACCCCACAAAGTGACACAGTACAAGAAGGGCAAGGATTCTCTGTATGGCCAGGTAAAGCAGTGTTATGACAGGAAGCAGAGTGGCTATGGTGGGCAAACTAAGCCGATTTTCCAGAAAACGGCTAAAACTACAAAGAAGGTTGTGCTAAGGCTTAAGTGTGTTGAGCCCTAGTGCAGATCTAAGAGAATGCTGGCCAGTAAAAGATGCAAGCATTTTGAAGTGGGAGGAGATAAGAAGAGAAAAGGTCAAGTGATCCAGTTCTAAGTCTCAGCTTTTCTTGTATGAAGACAATAAAATCTTGAGCTTGTGTTTTTTTTTTTTTTAAAAAAAGTATCAAGGTAATTAAAGACAAGCAAAGACTGACATACCGTTTCAGCCTAATGAAGACTAAAGAGACATGAAAACTAAATGCAACACATAATTCTGAACTGGATATTATTGGGACAACTGGCCACACTTGAAAGTGGTCTGCGTATTAAACGGTAGTACTGCAGCAGCATTAATATCCTGATTTCTGATTGTTTCATTGTGGTTGTATAGGAAGATGTCCTTGTTTTTGAGGAATACACACTAAAATATTCAGATGTAATATGGCATTAGATTCACCACTTCCTCTCAAATGGCTCAGGCAAACAAATTTCTCTGTACTACACTTGTGATGGCTTAAAAAAATTTTTTTTAACTTATTAAAAAAAAAGTTTAGGTAAAAGGAATACAAGTGAATATAGCCCTTTCTTGATTTTTAAAACAGACCATTTTCCCCTTAAAATGTATTAAATTTATTGAGCTTCATTTGAGACAAGTCTTACTACACCAGATCAAAAGTCACAGCAGTACCACAGGTAATGCAGACAAACTGGTGGTGGGGATGGCGGGGTGGGGAAACTACTTCCAATCTCTTACAATGAGAAATAAGCAAGTTATATTTTTTAATCCCAAGGCAAACAAAGAAAATGAATAAACACAAGAGGCATGCGGGGGTAGAGAAATCTAATTTTTTAAAAAAATCCCTGTCAAAGACAAAAAAGAAATGTAAATTATTTAAGAGACATTTACTTCAGGAATTAGGATAGGGATTGGGAAATGAATTCCTAAATATATGAGAATCCTATGAATAGGAAAACGATGTTATTTATTTCTCTGAATTCTCTTAAAATTATTTCCAAGGAAGTACAGTAAAGCTTTACTAATTCTTCTCTTTATAAGCATGTCTTACTTCTATTGCAATCCTAGGACTCGGTTTAATGCTTAGCACATAGTATTCAAACATATTTGTTCAATAATTGAGGGATAGATATTAGCATATGACTCTTTGTACCATCAAAATCAAAAAGTATCTTACAATCAATTGTATTTGACAGTCAGTGGAATATATTATTTGTTCACTAACCATCTGGCTGAGCCGAAAAAAGGCAGAGCAGATGTAAATGTTTGTCAAGGAAAGAAGAGCATGAATTAAGAAGGTGGTTTTTTTTATCATTTATGAAAATGGAGAAGCTAACATTTTTTTAAAAAGTCATTCTTACTTCTTATCACATTAGAGAGAAGAGTACATGTTGGATTTTCCTATTATTGCAAGCAGACAACTTTAGTAATCACCTGGGCTAGTCAGCAGAAATTAGTATTAAAAGTTAGATATTAACCAAAACTGCATGTATGAAGGTTGTTCTCAAACATGCTGAAAGCTGTCATATTGTCATTAAGAGACATTTAATTCATAGGTAACTCTACAGATTAACTTAGGTACATGCACTTGCTTACATTTAGTCAAAATTTTATGCCTATGTGCAAATGGGCCTTTTCACAGAGAGTGATTTCATAGCCTTTGTTAGATTTTCAAACAGAACTATGATCCCAGAAAGGTTAAGAACTATTGTTCACTGGCTTTTATACTATATATTTATTAATCAGAATGAAGGACACAGATGAATGTCAAGAACTATCTTAAAGTATTAAATTAATAAGTCATCAATTGATAACAGCTATTCACTTGATGTCTCCTCTCTGCAAGGCACTCAATAACCAAGTAGCTGTCTAATATAATTGGCAGAGAAAGAGGTAGAAATCCTGGGAAGTCCTCACATTCAACAGCAAAAACCTCCATGAGACATATGAAGGGTGATAGTCCTAGAAAAAAAAAATCAATGAAGACAGCTCTTGGAATCTGGATCAGAGATTTTATGAAACCATTAGACAAACTGTGAAATAATCTACCATGTTAAGAAAATATGAATGGCCATTAGTGTAGAAATGAGAAAAAACATGGGCAATGTGGCAATGATTAAAAAAAAATTATATAAGGAATCAGGAAAATATAATTGATAAGAAACTAATGACATTCCTGAGACTTGGATAAAAACAGGATGAACAGAAGTAATCAGTTCAAAAATGATTTTGAGTAATAACACAGTTCTGAGCATATGCAAGTGGATGTGAGGGGTCCCAAAGGTAAAGAATAAGATCTTTTGGGAGATAGTCATGGACTCCCCAGTCCCCAAAAAAACAGTATGATAGAACTCTATTAGTAGGATAGGAGATTATAGCTGCAGAGCATAAGAAGGTGTACAACAGTGTCACATGCAGGGCTGTTCTTAACTATTTGATAAATTCTCTTCTCTAGGCTGTCATCCATTGTTACATTGATAAGAGAAAGGAAAGGAGAGAAGAGGAGGAAGAGGAGAAGGGGGAGGAGGATAAGGAAGAGGAGGAGGAGGAGAAGGAAGAGGAAGAGGAGGAGGAGGAGGAGGAGGAGGAGGAGGAAAAACTAACTGACTTTTACGACATAGGTGCTATCTCTAGGTTTATATCTGGATGGTTTTATCATACCAAGGATACAATCAAACTTCTGATGTGCTTACAGGCAATATAGGCAATATATATTCTAGTAGGCCCTTTGCACACGTTATCTAACTGATCCTCAAAACTACCCTGCAAATGAATCACTATTATCCTCACCATAGAGGTAAGGAAGTAGAGACTCAGAGGTAAGATAACTTGCCAAAATCTTGGAATCAGAGAGGCAGAACTATGATCAGAATCGAAATCTAATTAATCCAAGTTTTTACTTCCCAAAGCAAATTTTATTATCAGTTGCTTGCTTCTTTCCAGGCAGATCTTCGATGTGACTTTTAAGTTAATATTCAATCATGTTCTATTTATACAAAAGAAAGAAAACTTAAAAATAAGAATAATAGAGCAAACAACAATGCTGGAAATCATCCAAATACAAGGTTATTTTGGTTGTCTCATTGTACCCAGCTTGCATCCCTCCACCAAAAAACAAACCAAAAACCCACTCTTCAAAATTTGAATGCCCAGTCATATACAGACATTTATAGAGCACATGAACAACTACTTAAAATTTTAAAAGATACATTTGTTTTCACTGAAATCTCTTTTAACTGTAAATACATGCTAAATTGTAATGAGGGGAAAAACCACAGAGTATTTCACCTCTTCCCACGGTGGTATAAATAAGATAGACCTACCAACCCTAAGGTACTTTTACACTTGATCTTAGACAAAGGGCCAAGAAGAGATAACCCTAAGGTATTTTTGAATTTTACAAATATTTAGTATAAACAAAAGCTTAGAATTAAAAGTTTTTGAGAACTAGAAAGTCAAAATATAGTATTTCTGTTTTTAAAATGTGATGCTTTAGGCCGGGTGTGGTGGCTCACACCTGTAATCCTGCACTTTGGGAGGCCGAGGTGGGTGGATAACAAGGTCAAGAGATCAAGACCATCCTGGCTAACATGGTGAAACCCCATCTCTACTAAAAATACAAAAATTAGCTGGGAGTGGTGGCATGCGCCTGTAGTCCCAGCTACTCAGGAGGCTGAGGCAGGAGAATTGCTTGAACCAGGGGGAGGCGGGGGCTGCAGTGAGCCGAGACCATGCCACTGCACTCCAACCTGGTTCCTGGCAACGAAGTGACACTCTGTCTCAAAAAAAGAAAACAAAACAACAACAACGTAAAAAAAACGACGCTTTAAAAAACTAGCACAATAAACATTTTGTGATAATCTTATGTTTGCTAATTATTATAGTTCAATTACATTAATCTCATAATTTAAATATTTTTTCCAAGAAAAAACTTACTTGAATTGCAGGCTGCATAGTCACCTATATTGAACTGAAATTTCTTTTCTGAAAAAAGAACAAAATATTAACATACAGTTAACAATGTAAGTTTTGTTACTTCCCCAAACCCCCAAATTACAAGATTCAGGAATGTGTTTATTCAACTGCAAATGCAAAACTTTTCTTCTAGTTAGAATAGTCTGACTACAGAGAATTCTTATCACTCCTTGCTTCTTACTTCATAAAGGACTACTCATTTGAAAAAGTAAAACCTGAAACAGACTTTAATATAATATGTAGTTTCTGGCATTATCATCAAAGTAATTCTTGAACCATCTGGGCAGTTTTGAAAAAAAAAATCAACAACAAAATTTAGCTCATATGAAAGTCTCCCAGAATTTTATTTTTCTCTGTGAACATAACCTGTGAACATAATGTAAGTATAAATATTACAACAACTGATATTAAAAGTCAAGTATCTTCTGTCATCAAGATCATAACAGGTCATATGGACTTTGCATAAATTAATAAACTTAACTATAAGCTTATTCTGCTACACAAGGTAAACTGTGAACCAAAAGGCACAATGCATTCCTATAACAATTTTCCAAAGACAAAAAACAAAAGAAACAGCAATTTTAGCTCCAAAGTAGTATTCCTGAAATCTACATGGAAAAATATACTTTAATTTATTGAATTAGGTAACTGTAATTCTTTGCTATATTTTCAGAAGGATAAAAGTGAAGAGTTTAAAAACACTCAATAATATAGACTATATAAAATCTAGGATTTTTTTATTGCTCATAGCAGCATAAACTAGTCTATTTTTATTATAAACTTCCTTCAAAACATTTTAAGAAAAAATATACAGTAATTATAAAGCTATAATGCTATTACTTTCCAAGAAAAAGTTATTTTTTCCCTAAATTATATCAGACATATCTCATACACAGTGTCAACTATACTTACCACTTTTCCTTTCAGGAATATTTCTTCTAGTACCAAAGTTCAACCTGAGCTAAACCATACTGAAAAACCTAATATTATAAGACATTTTCTTTACAGGAAGGCAAAAGACAACAGAATGTCCTTTTGGATGTCATTTTCTCTTCTCTCCAACACAGCAAAAGGCCAAAGTACAAGTGAACATTACTAATGAGCTTGTTATGCTTCCCACGAGCTAATTCAGTGGGGAATACATTTTCCTTTAGCATAAATAATCCTTTGTCCCCAACAAAGATCCATTTCTCGGAAGTAAGAAGCTTCCAAGACCATTTTTTAAAAATGCAGCAAAGAAGCTGCTCCTATTAAAATGGAGTTCCACATAATCAGACAAGAGCTTTAACAGTTGGAGCTGCCAGCCCAAAACAAAAGAAAGCCTAAATTATAAGGCGTGTGCAAATCAAGAACAGTGACACATTCACAAAGAAGCTATCATAAGAATGTTTAGTAGTTGCCCTTTTTATGGAAAATTCAACAAAATTCGTTTTATGAAAGAAAGAATTTATGTGCAATATTTGGTCACTTGAACTTCAGCAAAAGAATCTTTACATATATTTTTAAAATCATTCATCTTGCATAACAGAAAAAACTACTTTTAAGATGACAAAAATATAAGCATCTAGATTAAAAAATAAATTCCTTAATAAAATACTATGCAGATATATTTTCACATATGAAAAGCTATAATATACATGAACATATGCCTTTAATTGATGAGATTTTATCAGTAATTCATCAACTAAGCAATGAGTATTCACTATGTTACAGATACTAAGAGTCAGTCTTTGGTATTTTCTAGTCATTCACTGTCATCCTTCTAAGATATTTTTGTGTCTCAGGCATTTATTTCCAAGAGTAGTTTCTTAGCTCCAGTCCCCAATCTGTATCACAATCACAATTCTTGCTTCTCCTTCATTTTATTACCTATTTTCCTCTTTTATATAATTCCCTAAAAATCTCTATTGGTTTCATATAAATCAATTACACTAAACCAGTTTAACTTCATTTTGCATCTTAATTAGCAACATATTGTCCTTATTTTTTGCTTTTGTCTTTGTGTCTTTTTAGAGAAGCCTATTTCAATTCTTTGCCAACTTGAGGAAGTCTTTTCCCTTAGATTTGGGGGAAAAAAGACCTCTCATGTAACCAAGTCTAAACTGCACTCTAACCCTGCTGGGAATCTTTCACAAGACACTCATGCATCGATATTGCAAAGAATCCTATACTTCTAAAATTCAAGGAAAATGTTGGAAACACAGAATGTGCTCATCCACCTGAAATTTGACCAGAATTTGAGCCTAACCTGTTCATCTTTAAAAATTTCAGTCATGAGGTACTCAAGATTATTTGCATTAAGGTTCTTCATTCTACTTTGACTTCAGATCATAATGAGATTAAAAACACCAACTACTGAACTGATCCTTCACCCCAAAGATATAGGCTTTGAAACATATATTTTCAATCCTTTCTCACGTTATACGATATGATGGGGAGAATTCCAAGTGTCATGGCGCCATTTGTTACAAATCGGAATTCAACCAGGAAGAGTGGCAAACAACAAAAGCAAAGAAATAAGCTAAGTTTCTTCAGGAAAAAGAATAACATTAATTGCCACTGTACCACATATCCATTTAACACTCAGCCACCAGATTATTGCCAAGATACTAAAGAAGTAAAGATAGGACAAAGTTGAGATAGTGGTTACTACTGAGGAGAGAGAGGAAAATGACCCTGGGGAGGAATGCACAAGGGCCTTTGAACTGTACCAGTAAGATTTTATTTCAAGATAAGTGGTAAGAACAAAGGTATTATTATACTAGTCTGTATGCCTTTCCGTGTGTCAAAATATTTCATCCTTTTTAATGCTTCATTTAGAAAAATAGTTGAAGAATACATCCTTTTTGATTTACTCAGAAAAAAAAGTTCCTTAGCTTTAAAATTTTGAGTTAAATGTTTCTGAATTGCCTAATAAAGAAAATAGAAATACTTTATCTATATCAAACACATTTCATGTATTTCTTAATGCATACTAAAATAACTCATCACAAAGACAGCACTGGGGTAGTAGAAGGTATTGAATTCCAGCTCCAGAAAATACTGCCTATATAATTCTGGAGTAGTTGACTTCTCTAAGCCTCAGTGTTCTGATCTGTAAAATGAGATATGATCATGTCCCTCTTATGACTCCTGTAAAAATTAAATGGGATGATACTTATAAAGTACCTGGCACATAGCACTTAACAAATGAATTATGAGTATGGTGATGAGACAAAATTATAGCTCATTTGGGATCATTTATCTAAATGAGAAGAGATAAGAAAACAAAGCTAGCCATATTCAAACATCATTAAGCATAATTTGGAAAGCTTTTTTTACTAACATAAAAATAAATATAGTTACAAATGAAAGAAGCTTTAAAATACCCACATAATAACTGACAGGACACTCAGATAAAAATTTGAGATTGACAACTCACTTTGCTAGAATAAGTATAGGAATTTATTTAACCCATACCCTTCGCTCCCTTCAGCCTGTCTCCTCAATATCATCTCTATCAGTATATTTATTTTTGGGGCTATTTAATGATTTTCACTGTATCATTTTCCATGTTGTATACACTCATTTATTTATTAACCCCCTTTATTGAACTAGACACCACAGGCAAGAGACACAGTGATGAATATAACAGACATGTTACTGCCCTCATGGAGCTAATATACCAGTTGGGAAGACTGAAAATAGCAAATATCTAAATGAATACATAATTCTATTTTTTACTTTTATTTTTTACTTTTCCATAAGTTATTGGGGTACAGGTGGTATTTGGTCACATGAGTAAGTTCTTTAGCGGTGATCTGTGAGATTCTGGTGCATCCATCACCTAAGCAGTAGAAACTGCGCCATATTTGTAGCCTTCTATCCCTCGTCCCTCTCCCACTCTTCCCCCCAAGTCCCCAAAGTCCACTGCATCATTCTTACACATATGCACCCCCATAGCATAGCTCCCACATATCAGTGAGAACATATGATGTTTGGTTTTCTATTCCTGAGTTACTTCACTTAGTATAATAATAGTGTCCAATGTCATCTAGTCACTGCAAATGCTGTTAATTCATTTCTTTTTATGGCTTCTTAGTATTCCATCACATATATGAATATATCTATGTATGTGTATACATATGTATATGTATGTGTGTATGTACATATGTGGGCGTGTGTGTATGTGTGTGTACATATATATATATCACAGTTTCTTTACTCATTGATTGATGGGTATTTGGGTTGATTCCACGATTTTGCAATTGTGATTTATGCTGTTATAAACATGTATGTGCAAGTATCTTTTTCAAATGACTTCCTCTGGGTAGATACCCAGTAGTGGGATTTCTGGATCAAAAGGCAGTTCTACTTTTAGTTCTTTAAGGAATCTCCACACTGTTTTCCATAGCATCCGTACTAGTTTATATTCCTACCAGCAGTGCAGAAGTGTTCCTTGTTCACCATATCCATGCCATCATACTGTTTTTTGAATTTTGATTATGGCCAGTCTTGCAGGAGTGAGGTGGTATTGCACTGTGGTTTTGATTTGCATTTCACTGATCATTAGTGATGTTGAGCATTTTTCATGTTTGTTGGCCATTTGTATACCTTCTTTTGAGACTTGTCTATTCAGGTCCTTAGCCCATTTTTGATGGAACTATTTGTTTTTTTTCTTACTGATTTGAGTTCGTTGTAGATTCTGGGTATTAGTTCTTTGTCAGGTATACAGATTGTGACAGTCTTTTGTCATATGCATAGACTGTGTAGATTTTCTCCCACTCTGGGTTGTCTGTTTACTCTGCTGACTGTTCCTTTTGCTGTGCAAAAGCTCTTTAGTTTAATTAGGCTCCAGCTATTTATCTTTGTTTTTATTGCATTTGCTTTTGGGTTCTTGGTCATGAAATCCTTGCCTAATTCCCATGTCTAGAAAAGTTTTTCCAATGTTATCTTCTAGACTTTTTATAGTTTCAGGTTTCACAATATAGTCTGTAGTCTTAGGTTTAAGTCCTTAATCCATCTTGAGTTGATTTTTGTATAAGGTGAGAGATAGGGATCCTACATATGGCTAGCCAATTATCCTAGCACCATTTGTTGAAAAGGGTGTCCTTTCTCCACTTTACATTTTGTTTGCTTCAGATGGTTATAAGTATTTGGGTTCATTTCTGGGTTCTCTATTCTGTTCCATTGGTCTATGTGCCTATTTTTATAGCAGTACCACGCTGTTTAGGTAACTGCGCCCATATAGTGTAGTTTGAAATTAGGTAGTGTGATGCCTCCAGATTTGATCTTTTTGCTTAGTCTTGCTTTGGCTATGCAGGTTCTTTTTGGTTCTATATGAATTTTAATATTGCTTTTTGTAATTCTGTGAAGAATAATGGTGGTATTTTGATAGGGATTCTGTTGAATTTGTAGATTGCTTTTGGCAATATGGTCATTTTCACAATATTGATTCTATCCATCTGTGAGCATGGGATGTATTTCCATTTGTTCATGTTGTCTATGATTAATTTCAGCAGTGTTTTGTAGTTTTCCTTGTAGAGGTCTTTTGACTCCTTGGTTAGGTATATTCATGTGTGTGTGTATATATATATATATTTGCAGCTATTATAAAAGAGGTTGAATTCTTGATTGGATTCTCTGCTTGGTCACGTGGTGTATAGAAGAGCTACTGATTTGTGTACATTAATCTTGTATACAGAAACTTTGCTGAATTATTTTATCTGTTTTAAGAGCTTCCTGGAGGAGGCCTTAGGGCTTTCAAGGTAAACAATAATATTGTCAGCAATCAGTGACAGTTTGACTTCCTCTTTACCGATTTGGTTGCCCTTTATTTCTTTCTCGTCTCATTCCTTTGGCCAGGACTTCCAGTACTACGTTGAAGAAAAGTGGTGAGAGTGGGCATCCTCGTCTTGTTCTTGTTCTTAGAGGGAATGCTTTCGACTCTTCCCCATTCAGTATTACATTGGATGTGGGTTTGTCATAGATGGCTTTTATTATATTAAGGTATGCCCCTTGTATGTCAATTTTGCTGAGAGTTTTAATCATAAAGGGATGCTGGATTTTGTCGAATGCTTTTTCCGCATCTACTGAAATGATCATTGATTTTCATTTTTAATCTTGTTTATGTGATGTATCACATTTACTGACTTGTATATGTTAAACCACCCCTGCATCCCTGGTATGAAACCCACTTGATCATGGTGGATTACCCTTTTTTTTTTTTTTTTTTTTTTTTTTTTTTTTTTTTTTTTGAGACATAGTTTTGCTCTGTCACCCAGACTGGAGCACAATGGTGTGATCTTGATCTAACCTCAACCTCCATATCCTGGGTTCAAGTGATTCTCCAGCCTCAGCCTCCTGAGTGGCTGGGATTACAGGTATTTGCCACCACCCCCAGCTGGTTGGTGAGTTCTTTTCCATTCTGCAGTTCTGTATCTTTTAAGTGGAGTATTTAGGCCATTTACATTCAATGTTAGTATCGAAATGTGAGGTACCATTGCACTCAATGTGCTCTTTGTTGCCTGTGTCCTTTGGGGTGTTTTTGTTTTTGCTTTTTTACGTGTATTTTTGTTTTATAGGTCCTGTGTGACTTACACTTTAAATAGGTTCTGCTTTGATTTGTTTCCAGGATTTGTTTCAAGATTTAGAGCTCCTTTTAGCTGTTCTTATAGTGGTGGCTTGGTAATGGTGAATTCCCTCAACATTTATTTGTCTGAAAAAGACTGTATCTTTTGTACATATAAGATGCTTAGTTTCACTGGATACAATATTCTTGGCTGATAATTGTTTTGTTTGAAGAGGCCAAAGATAGGGCCCCAATCCTTTCTAGCTTGTAGGGTTTCCACTGAGAAATGTACTGTTAATTGGGTAGGTTTTCTTTCATAGGTTACCTGGTACTTCTGTCTCTTAGCTCTTAAGATTCTTTCCTTTATCTTAACTTTGGATAACAATGTGCCTAGGCAAAGATCTTTTTGCAACAAATTCCCCAGGTGTTCTTTGTGCTTCTTTTTTTGGACATCTAGGTCTCTAGCAAGGCTGGGGAAGTTTTCCTCAATTATTAACCCAAATATGTTTCCCAAGCTTTTAGAATTCTCTTCTTCCCCAGGAACACTGATTATTCTTAGGTTTGGTCATTTGACATAATTCCAAACTTCTTGGAGGCTTTGTTCATATTTTCTTATTCTTTTTTCTTTGTCTTTGTTGGATTGCATTAATTCAAAGACCTTATTTTCAACCTCTGAATTTCTTTCTTCTACTTGTTCAATTCTATCACTGAGACTTTCCAGAGCATTTTGTATTTCTAAGTGTGTCCAACATCTCCTGAATTTTTTATTGTTTTTTTTTTCTTTAAGCTATCTATTTCCTTGAATATTTCTCCCTTCACTTCTTGTATCATATTTTGGATTTCCTGCATTTGGCTTCACCTTTCTCTGGTCCCTCCCTGATTAGTTTAATAACTAACCTCCTGAATTTTTTTTCAGGTAAATCAGGGATTGCTTTTTGGTTTGGATCCACTGCTGGTGAACTAGTGTGATTTTTGGGGGGTTGCTGAAGAGCCTTGTTTTGTCATATTACCAAGGTTGGTTTTCTGGTTCCTTCTCATTTGGGTAGCCTCTGTCAGAGGAAAGGTCTAGAGCTGAAGGCTGTTGTTCAGATTCTTTTGTCCCACAGGGTGTTCTCTTGATGTAGTATTCTCCCCATTTTCCTATGAATGTGGCTTTCTGTAAGCCAAACTGCCGTGGTTGTTGTCTCTCTTCTGGGTCTAGCCACCCAGTGAGTCTACCTGGCTCTGGACTGGTACTGGGGTTTGTCTGCACAGAATCCTGTGATGTGAACCATCTATGAGTCTCTCAGCCATGGATACCAGTGCCTGTTCCAGTGGAGGTGGCTGGGGGCTGCAATGGACTCCTTGAGGGTTCTTAACTTTGGTGCTTTAATGCTCTATTTTTGTGCTGGTTGGCCATTTGCCAGGAGGTGGCACTTTCCAGAGAGCATCAGCTGTGGTGGTATGGTGAGGAACCGGTGGTGAGTGGGGCCCTAGAACTCCCAAGATTGTATGCCCTTTGTCTTCAGCTACCAGGGTGGGTAGGGAAGGACCATCAGGTGGGG